CCCACTGGCTTAACTTCTTGGAGGAAGACTCGGCTATCTCTGCCAACAGGTTTGGCTCACTTTCCCTCCGTTTCTGGGGCGTGATCTGTGTCGACATTTTTGGCTTAAAAGCAAAGTCAAAGAAGGCTGGAAATAGTAGTTGAGGTGGGATAGATATTGGACCTTTTGTGAGAGAGCTCGCGGGATCGTGAGGATGATGTTGTTTGCGGCTCTTGGGGATGTTGCACAACTACCTAATCTTCCCTCTATCTTCCAACAAACCGCAGATTCTTGCAGAATCTATGATAATATGTGTGTCTCTACGGAGTACCTTCTCTAGAAATTTAGAGCTAAAAAATTATAAATTGTTCTATTTCTCCACAATTTTCGTAAGATAGATTGATGGATACTATAGTAACTACATGATAATTGATAATTATTGATGAATATACAAACAACTCTATGAAAACTCAACTATACAGCTCATATACTCACTCACACACTCTTGGCGATGACGCTATGGAGCGAAAGCCGACAAACCTGGAATATTTCATCTCCAGTAGGCAAAAAAACAAGATAGAAAATATCTCGATTATGAGTCCCATCCTCGCTGGCTTCCAACCCGCGCGGAATCAATCTGCTTAACCCAATCTTAATTAACTAACTAACTAGTTTATTTGCGACTGAACGTTTCCTCAAGCTTACGGCACCGGGCTTTTGGAACCCCCTCGGAAAGTTTAATATTAATATTGCGATACTCCCCGCCAGATGGCTGCAGGGCAAGGACTCGATGATGTCGTCGCGGCCGCGGTGGCCAGAGAGACAACCCCTGATGGTTCCGGTCAGTGTACTCAATTCGTTCTTTGCTGCTCTACCTGCAGCATCTCTCATTGCTTGACTTCGTTGGCTGGATGCGTTCTATCCTTGGTCTCGTAGCTGATGCGGGGGCCGTGGAATGATAAACATGTAGGAGTCGTCAAGCTAGATCCGTGGCTGGAGCCGTTCAAGGATGCGTTGCGGAGCAGATTCAGCCATACGAATCAATGGATCCAGACAATCAATGAGACGGAGGGCGGATTGGAAGTTTTCAGTCGGGTGCGTTATCTATGTTCAGCCCCACGGTGTCCCTGGCATCATCCCTCCCCCCTTTTGCCTTCCCGGGCTACAGTCCAGATTATGTTAATGGCTGGCTCTACATATTTGCAGGGTTATGAGAAATTCGGTTTCAATGTTAGAGATAATGGAGATATTGTTTACCGGGAATGGGCGCCTAATGTCGTGGATGCACATCTCATTGGGGATTTCAGTGAGTGGGAATTTCATCCTGGAAGGAGTTCTGGGGGGTGGCGGACGGAAGGGCCGGGTTATGGAGTTTGTTTTCTGGTGGGCTACATAACGGTAAACAGCTAATGGATGGATGATTACGACTTCTTCTAGATAATTGGGATCGCAAGGCGACGCCCATGCAGAGGAATGACTTTGGAGTTTGGGAGGTAACAGTGCTTGCGAAGGATGGGATCCCCATCATTCCGCATAACAGCAAGGTCAAGGTGTGTTGCTCTGATTCCCTTCCGCCCAGCCATCCTCGAAGGGATGGATTCCGTGCAGAGAAGAACTAAATAAACGCCTTCGAACCTATTAAAAAAAAAAAATGAACAGATAACCATGACTGCCCCATCCGGCGAGCAACTCGACCGCTTCCCAGCCTGGATCAAACGGGTCACGCAAAACCTTTCCGTCTCTCCTGAATTCCACGCCATATTCTGGAACCCTCCCGCGCAGGACCGCTACGCCTTCAAACAACCGCACCCGCCTAAACCTGCCAGCCTGCGCATCTACGAGGCCCACGTCGGCATCTCCTCCCCCGAGACCCGCGTGGCTACCTATAAGGAGTTTACAAAGAACATGCTCCCGCGCATCCACGGCTTGGGATACAATGCCATCCAGCTCATGGCCATCATGGAACATGCATACTACGCAAGTTTTGGATATCAGGTCAACAATTTCTTTGCAGCCAGTAGCCGCTACGGCACGCCAGAAGAGCTGAAGGAGCTCATCGACACCGCGCATGGCCTGGGGCTGGTGGTGTTATTGGATGTGGTGCATAGCCATGCTTCCAAGAATGTGTTGGACGGGCTGAATATGTTTGACGGGACGGATAATCTGTATTTCCATGCAGGTCCCAAGGGGCAGCATGAGTTGTGGGATAGCCGGTTGTTTAATTACGGGAATCATGAGGTGTTGAGGTTCTTGTTGAGTAACTTGCGGTTCTGGATGGAGGAGTATCAGTTTGACGGGTTTAGGTTCGATGGGGTTACGAGTATGTTGTATATGCATCATGGAATTGGGACGTACGTTATTGTAGCTTTTCTGTTTCCTATTGTGTTAATTGTTTGTGGTGCTCACGGTTCTTTTTGCAGCGGATTCTCCGGTGGGTATCACGAATACTTCGGTCCCAGTGTTGACGAAGACGGCATCACCTACCTTATGCTCGCCAACGAAATGCTCCATCAGATCTACCCAAACTGCATCACAGTCGCGGAGGATGTTTCCGGAATGCCAGCGCTCTGCCTACCGCTTACCCTTGGTGGGCAAGGCTTTGATTATCGCCTCGCCATGGCGATTCCGGATATGTATATCAGGCTGCTCAAGGAACAAAAGGACGAGGAATGGAACATGGGCCATCTCACCTTTACTCTCACCAATCGACGGTATGGCGAGAAGACAATCGCCTACGCCGAGAGCCATGACCAAGCGTGCGTCCTTGCCCCCTCCCCCATCCAAACATCCCACCCAAGGAAGAAGACAATAGAACAATATTATTTCCAAAGAAACCCCAACCAATCCTGACAAATTGAATGAGTTATAGCCTCGTCGGCGACAAATCGCTCATGATGTGGCTCTGCGACAAGGAACTGTACACGCACATGTCCGTCCTAACCGAACTCACCCCCGTCATCGCGCGTGGCCTCAGCCTGCACAAGATGATCCGGCTGCTCACCCACGGCCTGGGCGGCGAAGGGTACCTGAGCTTCGAGGGCAACGAATTCGGACACCCCGAGTGGCTCGACTTTCCGCGCGCGGGCAACAACAACAGCTACTGGTACGCGCGGCGGCAGCTCAACCTCACCGAGGACCCGCTGCTGCGCTACAAGTTCCTGAACGACTTCGACCGGGCGATGCAGGTTGCCGAGGAGAAATATGGCTGGCTGCATGCGCCGCAGGCATTTGTGAGCCAGAAGCACGAGGAGAACAAGGTGATAGTGTTTGAGCGGGCGGGACTTGTGTGGGTGTTTAATTTCCATGCCACGAGGAGCTGGGCGGACTATATGATTGGGGTGGGGGGGAAGGGGAGAACGTACAGGATTGTGCTGGATACGGATGCGGAGGGCTTCGGGGGCTTCGGAAGGGTTGAGGCGGGGACGAGGTTCTTTACGAGAGGGGAAGGGTGGGATGGGAGGGAGGACAGTTTGATGGTATACGTGCCGACGAGGACGGCGCTGGTAGGTTTAACCCCCGTTGTCTTTTCCAAGGTGCAAGTCTTTCTATGCTGATGCTGACATGATGATAGGTGCTGGCGCCCGAGGAGGAGACCGAGGGATAATGTAGTTGTATGCGTTCTCCATGCGATGTAACAATGGCTAGAGGGACTGGTTCGGATAGTTAATTGTCAGATTAGTTAGTTATGGAAATTGTTCTTATATTTATCGATATGTTATATTTAACGATCCAAGGATAACTAACGTATTTCACCACTTCCTGAGACAACACCACTTTCTGAGACACTAAGTCACATGATATAAAACTCTATAGAACTTGCTTGGCTTCACCATGAGGCTACTGGTTCTAGACATCAACATAGAGATGCAAGTTATGTCTAGGTGTTGTACACAGGCTCTGTACAACTGGAGTAAATAGAAATTAGAAGAAGAAGAAGAAGAAGAGAAGAAGAGAAAGAAATTGAGATTTTAAAATAGAAAAATTCTCAAATAAAAAGTTGTGTGAGAATGAATCTATTCACTGCAACTACAATACATATGCCTTCATACAGAATCAATCACAATGAGGGCAGATATGAGCAGTATGCTCAGCACTTTTATATACACTACAAAGTCAAAAAGTTTGTTGTCTCATTACAATTCTCTCAGTATCAATTTCATTTATCTGAATTTTCACAGTTTGTACAGAGTCTCTATTATCAACATTTTGCTGAACAGAAAAATTTTCACTTTTCTCATCTTTTTATGCATGTTTAACTGCATTTTTTAAAGTATTATATATACTCTTTCTCTTTCTTTTCTATTTCTTATGTACAGTTTTAAGCTCTATATTTTCTTGTGTAAATTATTAATTATTGCTTTCTCATAATTAAGAAAGAGTTTATTCAGAAATCGATTGCTTGAATTTGAAAGAGATTTTATACAATTTTTCATTCAATTTTAAAATTTTACAGATTGCTGTTATACTTTCTCAACATTTTTGAAAATTGTTGAAATTCAGAGTTCTTCAGTGTCATGTGAAGTGTTTGATGAAAAAGATATGTGTATTGACTGAAATTTTGATAGAACTCTCTAAAAGTTGTATAGATATAATTCAGTAGCTTTAAATTCATTTTATATAATTTAGGTTTCGTCGCCATTTTGATGGTCATGCCGCACCAACCTCGAAACGCTCCCCCTCTGGCAGTCTGTTTTCATTCACCTCGCCGGGTGAGCCAGAGGCCACACTTTTTTCATGCCGGGTCACTCAAAATGGATCCCTTCCCATCTGCCGGCCACTATCTTCCCTCCATGGGAGAGATGTGGCCTTCTGCTCTTCCGATTTCACTCCCGATGTGTCCGCGAGTATCATCAAGTAACCATTCCAGCTTGACATCGTCCCCCACAGGCTATTTTACTGTTTACATTCACACCATCATTCTTCGTCTCATCCTTCTCTTGTTCTGCCTCCTCTCCTCACCTGTCCACACTCCGATCTCTTCAGCATCGTCGGCGGGGGCTCCTTCTTGCCTGACTCGCAGCATGCCTGCTTCCCATGCAGCTGATGGTAGCGAGTTCTGCAACAGCGAATCGGACCACGCCGATGATATGTTCTCAGACGACAGCGACGGCAATACCGACGTGACCGAGGAGACTGACAGTGAGGATAGCGACGACAGCGACGACAGCGATGGGGAGAGCTCAGAAGATGACAAGCTTCCTCCTCCCGAACATTATGAGGCCGAGGAGACTACTCTTGATGTCAAACGCCTCCGGCAACGTCGCTTGAGGAAAGCAGCAGTTGATAACATGGATAGAGTCCGAGACCACTGGCACCAGTGAGTGTGATCTCAAGTGTTCCCCAAACCAACCCGCTAACCGTGGAGGCTCTCAGATACTGCGAGTACATGAGGAGGGATGTGCTCGACGCCTACCGGACACTGTCCATCCAATCCATTAAAGGGTTCCTCAGCTGGGCTTGCGACCAGCGTCGCAGCAAAGGGGGAAGAAGGCGGCCGGGGATCCAAGCTGTCAGCTCCCTGAGAACCTTCTGGAAGCAGTTTTCCCAGCTCTATAAGCAAGACACGGGTGAGAGCATCGATCCTCTGACCATGGCTCAAGCACAGGATGTAATTATGGCTCCTACCCCAGTATCTGATCCTCTCCTTTCTGGTATCTCCGTCTAAACTATTGCGGCAGGTGATCGAGCTCATCGCCGATGAGAAGAAGCTCAGCCGCGAGAAGAGGCCGGGGGAGCCCATGTACATTGACGACCTGGCGGAGTACCTCCGTGTGCTTCTGGTCACAAATGAGATGGAGTTCATGATCAACTGACTGCACGTCGAGCTGATCCTCTTCTGCCAGGTCGCGGGCGTCACAGGCAATCGGCCAGATGCCTTGACCCAGCTTCAGTATCGGGATCTGGAGCTCACACTGGTCCGGGACCCCCATTCCAGCGCACCCCGTCTGTGCGTCGGGCTGACCGCCCACTTCACCAAGACCTTTTTGGGCATGAAGGATGCGTAAGTGTTCCCCCATCGGCCGCCTTGTTCTTTCACGAGCCGACTAACTCCGTGTTCAGGAACACTTTTTGGCTTCCGGAGATCATCTATGACCCAACTCTGGTGCTCAGTCCTCATGTCTTCCTTCTGGGGATGCTGTTCCACATCCAGGCATTCAAGTCACCAGGCATCAGACGCCCCGAGGACCTCTACAGCCTGGGCGTCCTGGATGGACTCAACCAGCAGGAACTACCGCTGCGGGATGATCTGGCGGATCTGTTCGTCTTCTGCTCGGCCGTCCGCGAAGGAGGTGGCGTCCGGATTGCGCACGAGATCCGGTTGACCACAGCGTCGGTACGGACTCGGATGAAAAAGGGCGGCGAGATCACGGGCTTCCAGCAGGCCACGAAGCCTTATGTCCTCCGTGATGCAGCGGCGAAGGGTTTTAACGAGAGTCGTAAGTGTCCATCTGTCCCTTCCTCCCCTTCTCGCTTCGAGAGCGAGCATGCCTGTTGATGATGCTGCCGTCGAACAGCGGACGTGAGCGATTCTCTCCAGAACCTGATGCTCCAGCACGCCAGCATCGATACATTCCTCAAACACTATCTGGACCGAAACATCACCGCTGATGTCCTCAGCATCTACCGTGGCCTCGAGCCGCAGAAGGCGCTGATGAGGATGGTGTGCTCGATGAGCCAGTCCATCGACCCTCACCGACCGTGGAAGCTGACGCCGGAGCAGTCGAGATCGGTAAATGACCAGCCACACATCCTGAAGATCGCTCGAAGAGTCGCACACCTGAAGAAGCGCCGTGACTCTACCGCAAGCTTGCTGAGCGGTCGGGTGGGACAGAGGTACCGGCGGAAGGCCGAGAAAAACCGACGATGGGAAGCGAAATACAGGCGCCGGGTTGAGAAGCACGAGAGACGAGATGAGAGATATCACAAGGCCGTTCGTCGGCTCCGCAGCGAGAAGCAACGCGCGAGGGTCGAGCTCAAGCGTAAGATTCTAGAGCGATACCGGCAGGAACAACCTGTGATCGACAGCGAGCGGCAGCTCTCCGGAAAGGTCGTCGATGAGGACGTGAGGGGTGCACTGGAGCGGTCTGGGTACATGACACCCGAACAGATGATCATGATCGACGCGGTCCTCACGCTGCCGCCAAAGACCCCAGAGGCGGAACTGCAATGACGGATCACTGCCATCCACACTGTCAGTGCATACTGCGGTGCTGAGGAGGGGCCGCTCTGCCGTCGACGTGGTCGTGGCTCCAGCCCCAAGCCGACCACCGTGAAACCAATGGCGTCAAGGTAGAAGTGATGGCCCAGCCACCATCCAGCACACTCCTTGAGTCGGCCGTTCGAGCGGTCCGGACGGAACAGCGACCCAAAATATGCTTTCTCTGTTTGCAGAACACCAAACTCTCGCTGGCGGACCGAGTCTTATTCATTCCATGAGCCGGGGGACCTGACCAAACATTTTCAGAGGCGGCATCTGAAGAAGTTCCAGCTGATGGATTGCGATATTATAAGGGTTACCTCGTCGGGCTGGTCTCCTTCGCCCTGATATCTGCGCGCACGTTCTACTCTGGCTTTGATTGATTGTATTTACATTGCAGCCTCTCGTTGGATCTACTACCTATGCCAGGTTTTTGGTTCTCTGTTATAAATTCATCCGTGGTAATGAGTCCTTGTCGTGTTTTGGTATAGAGAGAAGCCATATCCATCGCATATCTTCTATTTCGCGCAGTCAAAGCCCAAATCTGCCTACCCAGATCATCCGGGAACATAGCGGCTTCATCCACAGCACACTTCTCAGTCGTTAAGTACCACTCACAGCCCAAGATTGTTTCGTTGCCAGAGCGGCGTGCCATCACATCAAACCGAGAATACCACATAAATATATGGCGATGAAAGTGGTCCTGATTCAATGTTTCAGGGCTGTAATGTTCAAGGAGCACTCGTCGAGCTGCTTGATGATGATTGAGTAGATTTACCCAGTTTCCAAGGTATTCCTGAAAATCAAACAACTCTCTCAGCGCCGAGCAGCCATACATGAGGGAAGGAACATACCTCAACTGCTGTAAGCTGCAGAATTGTCAATAACATGGCATCAGTGTGTTGCTCGCCTGACTGAAGTGACTTCAACAGCCCTGAACTAGACCGGTTATAGTATCCAAGAAAGGTCCTCTCATCACCACAACATTGTTGGAAACAAGACATGGCTTTAGTAAGAGAATCGCCTCGGCACGCTCCTGCCCTTAAAAATGGGTCAATCAAACCACGTACACCAACCAAATCACGCCTTGGCGTCCTTCTGGACCGGACCGAGGCAGAGACAACTAGAATAGATCAGCCACAGGCCCTGACGAGGCATTAAGGTCGTGCATGTAATTAGACTAGAAAGGATAGATGAGAAGAACCCAAGACCCTCAAAGCCCATTCAAATCATTTTCCCTTTGCATGCTCTGCGTCTAAAACGCTTCCTTCCAAACCCACCCGTCCTCCCCATCTCCCTCCGTTGCCCTCCCTGCCCAACCGTCCTAACCTCTCCTCTGCACAATCTACATCGCTATCACTCCTGTTACCCCCTGTACCATCACAAACACACCCTCTGCCCAATCGTCCCCCTTCCAGCATCCCATCACGCCGAAACAGTGACGACGGGCAAATTCAGTCACCGACTGTTCTATCCAACGATTTCGATAGAGTCTTTAGGGAGAACGGGATCGTTGAGGGCCTCGTTGAAAGCAGAACCTACGCAGACTTAACCCCCGATATCATTTCCTGTGGTGATGGCGTGGTGGAAGACTCGTGGCAGAGCGATATGGACCGAAGCCAAGAGCAGAAGAAAGAAACGTCAGTGGTTCCGGAGTCGTTCCCGAGCGCTACTACGCCCCAACCAACTTCGATTCCAGAGCCACTCACCAGTAGCAGTATACCCGAACCCATTACGGGCTACAGAGGTGGAGGCTTGTTTGTTCGAGTCGGACCGGGAGCAAGATGGAACACGGAATCAAGAATGGCCACATGGCAGCCCAGGTGAGTCTACGCCGCATTCCTTTTCTCATGGGCCCGTGTTCCTCACACCATGTTTTGTAGATGCGCCAATCGTGATAGAGGCAGAGACGAGGACTAAGAATGTATCCACGGCACAGGGGGATTTGGCATTCCCTAGCGAGGATGCAGATACCACTTGTGCCATGTCGGTGGTCCACTCGGTGAAGCCGGATCAACGTAAGGGTGAGACTGGCGCCCGCAACAACGGGCAACGCCAATCCCCCTTCACGGGGCCGCATCGCCGATCCGAAACCGAGCCCATGGAGACTATGGTCGCGGTTGTGGTTCCAGCCATCTCACGTTGCCAGCAAGACCCGGTAATCCCCAAGGGGAACGAAAGCGAACGGCATGTTCCCTTGACCCGCCAACGGAAGGCCCGGCAAAAGTCAATGCGTCAAGTTTTGACGAGCCAGCACCGTCGTACCCCTGGTAGCCCCGCGCGGCCTGCGAGTGACAATGGGGCTGAGTCGGACGTAAGACGCACGAGCGATCTCTCTGACGACTCGGATGAAGATTACACTGCGAGTAGCGACGACGGTGATTCAGTGAAGACACCAGCGAAGCGACGCAAACTTTCCTCGCGGTCAGCCGTTACCACCTCACGCCGAGCTCCGTCTCGGTCTCGACCCCGGGTTGCGCGAGCCGTTGGGGATCATCGACAGACAGAGCGGAAGCCTCGCAGCGTACCATCAGTAGCCGCCGCAGAGCGCTCCGTAGGCTCCACACGCGCGGGTCAGAAACGGTGCAAGCGCTCCAGCCCTGTGGTGCCCGCCGGCGGCGCCGAGCAGACTTTGAGCCCGCGGCTATTGTCGCCGGAGGACATTTCTACGCTGGTGTCCGCCTTTGCCCAAAAGCTTCTGGACCTCCGCAGGGATTCTTCGACCGACGCCATGCGTGGCACGGATGAGGAGGTAGCTGTGGTTCATGCTGACGAGAGTGCAAGCGAGGATGAAAGGATTGGAGAGCGGGGCAGGAAAAGGCCTCGATGGACCCGGGAAGATGATAGGCGTCTAAAGGACCTGAAGACGCGGGGTTGGCGCTGGTGGGAGATCGAGCAGCAGTTTCCAGGGCGAACAAAAAGCGCCCTGCAGCAGCGATGGTCGACATTCCCGGCAAGGGAAGCATCGCCAGTAACTGACGTGCAGAAGCAAGAATGTAAGCCGATAAACTGATTCCTGTAAACGTTTAGGATGCGTACAAACTGGTTCTGCACAGACGCAGGGAAAGGTGCTTGCAGATGTATTCCAACTTTGTCATTATATTGATTTCACTGGTGACTGCGCAAGCTTTCTGAGCCTTGAATTACTTTCGCCGGTTCAAATCCCGCGAACTTACCAAATCAACGCCCATATTGTCCAACGGCCCGCTATGATTCGTATGCTTATACCTCAGTATATAGCTTCACCTCCATAGCCAGTAAGATACTTTAACAAATTCAACATGCGCTACGTTCTACGGACAGCTCAAGGCACTGCACGTGACATATCATTTGACGTACTCCTCTAGTTTTGAGGTTGGGACAGGTTGATCTGACTTCTGCCCGAAAAGAGAATTTTCTTGCGCTAGGTAGTTTTCCTGATTCTCAGCCCCTCCATCAGCCACGGGTCAAATACGAGCTCTTCGGCAGTCGGCCTTTCCTCAGGTAACCAACGTAGAATCCTTTGAAGAAACTCCAGAAATCCCTTTTTGTTTTCTCCCTCGAGATCTTCTGCAAGCAGTTCAAGGGAGATGTCAGGGATGGGTGCAAAACCTCTCCATTGACCTTGAATATTTTGTCAATGTTAGCAGAAAATATGAGGTTCGCCACTCTGTAGATTTGAGCATGTATTCACATACCGTTCTTGTCCCACCATATAGAACTCATCTCACTTCGTTCCAGAAACTCCCTGGGAGGAGGTCCCATGATAGCAACCATCTCTGCAAGGTGGAGTGTATCATCCAGAAGTTGTTGATCATTCCTGGCTTGGAAGAGGGTTCGCCCAGCTACGAGGTCCCAAAACTGACCAAATAGTAATTGAAAAGCATGTCAACTAAACCTGTCAAAATATAACCAAAGGGTAATTGTCACTGACCACCATAGCAATGCTCCAAATATCAACTTTATTGTCCCAATTCATCTTGAGAATAACCTCTGGTGCTCTGTAGACATCTGGCATAATATCTTGTCCTTTGTGGTCTTCATCTGCGAATCTGGCCTCGCCAAAATCGGTTATAATAGGTAGGCACCGTGTACGGGGAATCCGCCGGCTCTTGTAAATGACGCGATCGTCCAAAACCTTTCTCGGTGCAGGTTGTTTCAACTCAGCCTCTTCGAATACCGAGAACACATTAGGATCGTCAATCTCAAGGAGCATGTTTCTGGATTGGAGGTCTGTATGGACAATGTTGGCTGAATGTAGGAAGTCAAGCCCACCCAGGATTTGTCGTAACGGATGCTTCAAAAGTTGTATAGCCAGAGTCCCTGTAGGCCGAAGGTCGAGCATCTGTTCCAAACTCAATCCCAATGGTTGTTGAACAAGGCACACATGAGTGCCATGTGGGCCGATCACTTCGAACGAGTCGTATAGTTGTCGAAAGAGATTTTTGCCGGGATGGCCAGATTGAGATTGAATTGAATTGAGATGATTGTAGATTCTAATCTCATGATTCGGCTTTGAGGAGGCAACACAAAGCTTTAGTACGACATGTCGAGACTCACTAGTTAGTGAAAGTAAAGTTAGCATATTAGACTTATTGTGGACTGCAACAACATGATAGATAAATGTACGCACTGTAGATCACGACCGAGCCATACAGTCGATGTCACTCCGTATCCTAGTTTCCCAACAATTTGATATCTGTTGTTGAAAATTTCGCCTATTTGAGCTGGGTAATACTTCTCTGCCTTATATGTTGGAAGGGTTTCTTCCTCAATCTTTTCAGAGACATCAGTCAAGTCAAATCCGGAGCCTGGAAATGTGAGGGGAGATATTAGCTGGGAGAACGTCATTCTCTGAGTTCCATTGAATCGTCGCGAAGCGTGAGGAACGGCAGAATTCAAAGACAGGAAAGGTCGGCTTCTGGAGAATGCAGACCGCACATAAAGTCGATACGAAAGAGACAGTTTAGCAGTCATGTCACAAACAGGATTCTAAATCACCTGGTAGTCGTGTCTGAATGACCGAGAGGTTGTTGTGCTTATTCCTGTTCCGGGTTCCTGCTAAGACGTTTTCGAAGTTGAAATAGTTACTGCTGCCAAGCCATTTCAGGTTGGATCCCTGCAGACGCTCAGCAACCAATAGGCAGTCTGGCAGAAAAATAACACTAAAATTGGCTAAGTGGCTGGACCGGGAGAGAAGAATTGGCACTGAAGATTTCCAGGAAACCCTCCCATAGCAAAGCAATCTTAACTAATGTATGGACGAGTTTAGAAACTCACTGGCGCCGCCAAGTGCTGGGGACCGCAGGCCACCCCTTGGCAGTGGTGTCTGGTTGGCAGCGTTACTGGTGAATGGAATGGCTGCCTACGGCAACTCCTTTCGAGAATGGATGCCTCTCGCTGGGCCTCCTCGCACAAGCACGTCTATATAAGCAAAGCAAGACTCCGCTGCATGCTACATTCTTTCTCTTTCCTTCGGAGACATGAATAAGCCACAATTTTCCGTGACATTTCTTTGATATATGTACTGAGAATCGTCTCTGTTTACAAAGCTCCGGATTTTTCGAAACAATCCACTGCAAAGATGAACCGCGTTGCCGCAAGGGGATTCCATGCTACGGCCCAGAGAGTACTTCAGTATAGTGGTTCTGTCAACCTCGGAGATGTTATTTCGACGAATGCAGATGGGACTGAGTGGTCAGACTCAGTGGACAGTGGATGCAACATGATAGAAAAAGCTGTATGTGTGCCTGCCGCTTTTTGCTAGCTTCAGCTAATAAGTATAGGATCCTCGGATTACACAAGCTCACATTCAGTAGAGTGTTTCTTGTTTTCCTGGTCTCTCTCTTAGTGCCAACCTCAATATATTGGATTTAGCTAACGGACTTGCAGGGGTGCGCGGGCACACAGGTCTAGTAAAGACAGAAATGACTCAAAGGATGTCATTACGGTAGCGCTTTTAACCGCCACAGGGACACGTGTCGGCAGTGCCCATTTCCACCTTGACGGTTCCTTTAAGTTCTTTCCTTCTCGTGCTGGAAAGCTGGGCGGATTCGCAGACAACTTGCAAAAAGCGGGTCTCGTGGTAGAAGAGGGAGGGCCTGAAGGGAATACTAGGAGTGCCGGTGATGAAAATAATCCCGCACAGCAATCTTCTTCAAAATAGAAAAAAAGGAGGACTGAGCATCTATTTGGAGCCCAGTACGGTGCTCAGTCACAGAGCCTTGATAAGGTGGTTGCTGACAAGGAACAGGATCATCAGAAGGGGGAAGTCTCGCAAGGCCGACGTTGATTAAAGCAGAAGAGTATGAGAGAATATCACTCCCTAAAGATATCAATGGTGACAAACTATGATATGTTGAAGAGACAAAGAACCTCTCACATGGTCCCCTATTCAGTCCCTTAAATCCATAGTATCTGGGCTCTCCAACATTGCAATCTCAATACATGTTTCTGCAATTCGGCCCAATGCAGTACTCACAGTCATCCAGCTTTTGCTTCAAATCAGCATCAAGAAACACTGCGTCAGCGAAATAAAGACTGCCATATCCTGGAAAGTTGAGTTCAGACATCTTCATAATATTTGTAGAAACCAATCTAATGCAATTCATTTTCTGGTGAAAGGACATTTTTGGCCACATTTGATGCAGTGGAACGCCCCCGGCATGTTCCATTATGAAGTATGCCGAGCCAATGGGGTTGGCCGAGTCATCACTCCAGTCCAAGACAGTTGGAATTGGTATTTTAGAATGGCATTGCACTGTATGCACAAGTTAGTAAAATTGCCTTCCCAAATTTCTCAGACCATCTTGGATGTAGCCTTACAATAAGTAATTGTCACAACTTCAGAGTTTGTGACAAATCTAGCTGGCCCAGCAACAGATGTTGTAAACTTTGCAACAACACATCTCCTGTCATCAGTTGTAATGATGAATGCTCTGTTGAAGCCACCCTCCAGTTTCTGACAACTTTGGATTGAAGTTGCGGAAGGACAGAGAGAGAGGACTTTCTTGCACAGACAGTCAAAATTGAACCATATGTACCGCGCTTCACGCTGCAGGTTGTAAGGTGTAGCCATCGACCAGCAGTGTAGGCAAACAGCGCTTTGTTACATTGTCAAAAGTTATGAAGCCAATGAAGCCTCAGTAGAGAACTCACACTTTATGGATTGATGTCCTGCCATTGGCGCTTGCGAGATTTTCTGTTGTAGTCCACTCATCAGTGAAGTTCATCCAAACTGAATGGGGTTTGGTCTCTTAAAAGAGCAAAGGAGTAATCTGTGGCATCCCATTACATTACTATTTCAGGGGCAATATCAACAGTGACAGAGTAACTTCAAACTTTGACAGGAGTTGGCAACGCGTAAACCCCCAACCCCATGCAGCTGCTGAGTTGACAGATCAATCACATGAATCATTACTTACTCCATATAAGGATCCCCCAATCAGTCTCCTTCTTAACCGTTGCGGTATTTTTAGCCTACATGGGCATTGCCGTGACCTAGATGAGACATTATTACAGGCTTACTTTGGAACAGTACTGCTGGCAGCAAGTCTCCTCCTTCTGGTTGGAACACACATAGACGCCGAATCTATGCAGGGTGCTAACCGAAACATGGATACATGAATAGTGACATAGTGCCCTGGACCGCATCCAATCAAGCATGGAGTAAAGCACTGAATAACGCAGAGCAGAACCGGCGTCGCCCCTCATTCTATTTGTGGAGTAGGGATGCCTTGAGTGCTGGTTCTCATGGCTGGCGCTCGAGCAGCAACACATAAAGGAAGGATGTGGACTCGATCAAATTCAGATCTAAATCACCATTGAATTCCTCTGCCAGGACCTCGAGCTTGTGCCTGGTGTCAGTACAAAAGAAAGAGAACAGAGCAGAAACAAGGTAGAACTCCAAGATCAAGATATGGTTGTGCTGCATGTAACAATATTCCTCTCTGTTTGAAAAGCCAGTGTTGACAGTAGTTTCATTCCTGATTAATTAGAATTAAATCAAATAGATTATATAAATTACACTAAAACATATAAATACAGTAGATCTCTCATATCATCCAGTAGTTTTTATGTATTTAATACACTAAGGTACGCGCTAAAAAATTGCGCTAATTGTGCCTCGCACGAGGAGATAGAAGTTCAAATACAAAACTAATGCTTGGTCTCTTTTCTTCTGTCGACTAATTTTAAAAGGGAATCCCCAAACAAGCACGTGTGAGGCCTTTGATTGTATATTATCAGGACTTGGCAAAAGTCTAAATTGAGCTGCATTCGAAAATATCGAGAAGAGGTTGGAGGAAGAGCAGGGCATCAGTACTCATTGCAGCACACCTTCTAAGCACTATTTTTCAGACTCACGTCACACAGAGCTGAGGGGTTACAGATGAGGATTGAGTGGGCGCGCTTACAGTTCCACTCTTGCCTCCGCTTGTCGGTGATGGGGTTGCTTGTGTGTGTATTCTGAAGTTTTGTGTACCACTGCTGCTGCAAGAAGCTGAGTTGTCTGTGTGGAAACTGCTTCTCAATCTCCGTCCAGGAGAAGCTGTTCTGCTTCAGAGCCACTAGGTGGATGTCCTTCTTTTGAGTCCAGCAACATCTTTTCCCATCCAGATCCTTGATCTTCTGTTTGCTGAAATCTCTTTCAGTGTCAGCTGCAGCTGTTGTTTTGTCTGTGAGATCTGAGGCGGTCATTGGACGGCCTGTGACCATCTTGAAAATGACTTGGGCCACTGTAGAAGAAAGCATCACAGCTTCCCCTCGGGTCAACAACAGAAGAGGGCAACTACGCGTCTCGTCATCAATAGGAGGTCGGAAGTGGGCATACGTGTCCGGTCCATGATTTGTGTTCCGGGGGGTTGTGTAACGGTCCTTCGCAGTCGTCGCTTGCACTCTGTCCTCCTGTTCGACACCTTCACGACCTGCAGCGGCTGCTGCCCTTGGGATCTGAAACTGAGGACGGCGCAACGCAGCGCCGGATGGCAGTGTGGGAAGCCTGCGACGCTTTGATGGCTGTTTCGTTGGGCCATCCTCTTCGCTGCTCGCACAGTAGTCGTCGTCTGTATCGTCAGAGTGTGCACTCAAGCTACCTGTGTCGGACATGGTCGTGTCGTCTTCGACGCACTGCACGGGTTTCCTGGGAAACTTACAGTCCTGAGCATTGGGGACCTCACGCCTCGATCGTGCACGACTCTTCCGTTGGCGGGTCCGGAGTCGGCTTAACATGCCTTCTTCAAGGCGATCCGCGATGACCGGCACTTCGACCGCGACCATGGGGTGCATGGCACCGGTACCGGCCCCGTCCCGGCGTTGTCTCTTGAGCGAAATAGAACGTCCACCGGCGATGCCAGTGCCGGCTTCGTCGCTTCCACCATCCGCCTTGGGAGAGTGAGATATGGATGTTGCACGGCTAGAAGTGTCTCATTTGGCGGGAGACGTGAAGGTGCTGTCAACAGCAGACCCGTCCTTAGCACTGTCATCAGATTCTACAACGATCAGCGGATGGAAGAGCAGAGGGTCATCAGAACTGCTTCGGTGCCATTCTCGTCTATGCGACCCCGGCTCCAAAAAGCCAGCGTGTGGAGTCGAATCCAGAACGGGCGTTGAACTGCCGTCGCCAGGAAGAGCATTTGTGCCGGTGGATCCGACCATGCCACATTCTACAGCGGGCGAAGAAACCGGTAAGAATTCGTCGTCCTTCTCCTGGCCTCTGTCCTCATCCCCATCAGAAAAACCTAGGAGACGCCCTGGTGTTAGAAACCGGTCGGCCTAACCAGATAGAACAAAAAGAAAGGGAGGAGAGAGAGAGAGAAAGAGAGAGCCGGTTACCCACCGTGAGAACCGTGCCTCTCATCCTGCAAATACCAGCTCGAGCGTTTCCACGACTGCATCACTGGGGATGAGGACGCGGAGAGAATCAAATCCCGTGAAGAATTCATCAAAATCATTCAGGCGAGTATCCCCTGCCTGAGACTGGACCTCATGATGATCTTTGAAAGGGGGGAAAGGCGGAACTTGCGAAGGACGACTGGAGGGAGGAGGATGAGGGGGTAAAGAGTGGGAGAGTGTTTGAGAGCTGATGGAAGGTGCAGGGGCCGTCTGGAGAGATTGGGATGCAGAGGGTACAGGGTAAGAGGGTTGATGACTTGCAGGCATGGGTCTTGAAGGGGGGAGATTTGTGGGGTTAGAGGACTGAGGAGTTTTCAAGGCTCTGGGGGGGGGATTGGAGGGGGTATATATGTTCCAGTCACCGCACATGTTCGCAGAAGAGATGGTGATCTTGCATAGTTTGTCAGAACAGCAGTGATGAATCCACAGGGGGAAAGCAGACCATTTTATCTACAGTTTTCGCCGCTCTGGTGATAGCTCCATCCCCCCTGTTCCTCCAAATAAGCCCGTCGGCCACCGCACACACCGCCGAATGTAACCCAAGCAGGTGCGAGTAGCAGCCAGCCACGTCCATCGCCTGTCGGGTGGACGCAGAAGCGGCGCCACAGCCTCCTCCCGTCCCGGTTCAATTTCGCTCCAACGATCCAGGCATGGAAGATGCGAGGACCGTGGACGAATCGGATGCGAATCCCCCAAGGAGAGTGAGAACGAGCGGCACACAACCACTGTGCACACATGCAGCTATAGCCTCACTTACACAGCCTCCTCGCGCCTTCAGCCCTGCAACTTCCTCCTCTATCACACCATCCTTGCATCTCTACATGGCGTACGCGGCGCAGACACACTCCGGAAAGCCCAATGCAAGGATGACCGGGCGATGCGACTTCAGCTCACTCACGTACCATATCACAGGGATTTGCTGGCGGGGTTGATTGGTCAACAAACTGCAAGATCGCCACACCGGAGCTGAAACTGTGGTCCTTCAAACCACAGGCAGAAGGAAGGCCGGAAAAACAGCATGTGATCAATCGCTCCTCATTGTTATTTCTTGGTTCGACACATAGGCACCAGCAAATAACAGGTCGAAGAACGAGTCCAAGGATCGGGGGAAGAATGACACCCGGTTCAGCAACGCCGCAATTGGGATCGATCATCCATTGCTACCGGGCTTCACTGAAATGAGGCATTTTTGCCATTGGCCGCTGAGCAGGAGGCACGTCCGAAGCACAAGAGAGGGGGTTACAGAGGGACCGGATGGACTGTGGGTGGGGTTGACCAGCTGCTGATACAGAAGGTGATAGGGTATATTTTTTGTTTTGTTTTTGAAGATCACATGTACCACTTCAACACGAGACAGGAGTAGAGAGTGAAGGAGCAGTAAGAGGAGCGGAAGAAGGTGTAAGGGCAGAGAACACATATGGAGTATGTGGAAGAGAACCCCAGGCGCGTTCAATGCTGAACGCCGCAGAGGCCTTCTTCGACCGGCGGCAATCAAATCCAGGTTGATGGACGGCTGGGTGGTGGTGAAGAGGCAGTGGGTCGGAGGGGACGAGACGGCAGGGGCAGAGAAGAGAAGGAAAGGAGATGGATGAGAGGTGAGAAAGGGAAATAAGGACGCAGAAGTGTGTGTGTGAGGGAGGCAGTTGAAGCAGCTTTATATAGTCATGATGGATGACGTTGGAGGGTGGAAGGTGACCAGCGGGTCAACACCATGCCCGAATGGGGCAGCGCCAGGCCGCATCGGGCCGCGCTAGATCAGACATGGACGGCGCTTGACTGGATCGGGCGGGCGGCGCCGTCTCCGGCCGCGCGCTCGCCGTCGCAACGAATACTCAATAAATATTTCAAAATAAACTTCATTATATAAAATTAAAAAGTTAAATTTATTTATATAATTGATTTTACATCAAATTTGATTTTCAATCTTTGTTTTATATGATCATTTGAGAGGACTGAAACAGCTCACATCAAGTGGCTGTAAAATATATAAGAAGCGAGAAGATATGTAAAAAAGAATAATTTAATTCTTTATATAAAAAAAATCAAATTCTAAAATATGATTTAAATAATCATTCATAATCAATAATTAATATTGTTCTTTTATATGAGACTGAGTTTGTCTGTCAAAAACTTTCTTAACTCAATATAATTTAAACTCATCATCAATTTATTTTTTTAAATTATTTTTCATAATTCAAATTGCTGGTAAATCAATCTGATCTTTATATGAAAAAGTTATCTTTTCTTTAAATATAAACATTGAATTCAAAACTCATTTCAAAACATTGATTGAATTGATCACAATTTCTCATTTTCAATTTTCAGATTATAATAACTTTAAACGATCTCTTCTTTCTGAGTTGATTATAATCATACAAATTATTCTTATAACAAATTCAATTTCATTCATATTGTACATATCATTTAATAAAATTTCATACTTTGTTATAATTTGTTCTATAAGTTAAAACCATTCTTGTATGATCTTTCAATCTTCATAAAGAGTGTATTGATAGTTGAACTTTCATATGAACTTGAATTTAAACTTCTCATGTCATTGTAGAAATCAGATCATTTAATTAAATTCAATGAATTTAAAATTTTCATTTTTTTATATCTCAAAAAACAGATTTACCATACTTTATACAGTGAAATGTTTAAAAAAAAAGTCTTAATTATTCATAGACAAGATCTATTTCTGTGAGAGGTGATGACAGTATGAAGAGTGAATAATAGAAGATAGTATATAGTGTAGTGGAAGATAATAATAATAATTATAGTAGTAGTGTAGTTGTAGTTGTAGTTGTAGTTAATCGCTAAAGAGGAAAAGAAAGAAAAAGAAGATGTGTGAAATACATACATTCATATATATATACATATAGAAATAGCGGTAGCGAGAGTATAATAGAAAGAGGTAAGAATAGACAAAGATATAAACAAAGATAATATAATAATAAGGAAATAATAAACAAGTGCATTACAATTTCACAAAAGCAGCTTTTTCAAAGAGTTGAAATTTTCATGTAATATACTCATTTATTATTTTCTTATTATATTATATTGTTTATTCTTACCTCTTTCTATTATGTTCTCACTATCACTATTTTTAAATGTATATATATATGAATGTATGTATGAATGTATATATTTTGCATATCTTCTTTTCTCTTTCTTTTCCTTCTTAATGATTAGCTATAACTACTACTATTATTATTACTATAATTACTACTATTATTATCATTCACTACACTATCTACTATCTTTCATTATTCACTCTTCACACTGTCATCACCTTTCACATTTCATCATTGTATATTTGCAGCTGTTTTGTTTATACAAATGGTGATATAACAATTTAAATTTGCATGAGAGATATTGTACAGATTGACAGCACATCACTGATTCAATTTATAATTTTAACAGCTGAAGCTGTTAAAATGAGATAACTTGCACTCATAACTGCTGAATGAATCTGACTGTATGAAATTGAAGCTTTTCTAAGCTAATTGGTGCTTTAGAAATCAACTATATCATGTGACTTAGTGTCTCAGGAAGTGGTGAAGTTAGAACTCAGAGCTGTTTTCGTGGTAAGTTATGTAATCTTTGTTGGCTTCGGGAGGGATGGTGCGTATGGTGCTGTAATTTAATGTCCCCTTACACTCCCATACGGCATTCCTGGCTGTCAACCCGCGGTGGGTACCGCTCGTAACTGCGGTAACAATACCTGTCAATACACATACGCCGCCCCCAAGCCCACCCGCGCTAACCCGATGCGTGGCCTTGGCGCCTTGCCCTTTTCAGAATCCTCGTCTCGCACTTCGCCAACCTCAACTCTTCTTCCTCGCCCTTCTCGCTGCCATTCTCCCGACTCCTCCACTCCTCCACTCCTCCACCATCCACGCCCATCATGTTCAAGAGGTAGCCCAGCCCCAATGCCCTCGCCTGTCTCTGCTCAATCGGCCCCTGCTAACCAATTGCCCACAGCGGTGTTGCCCGGACCTTCGCCAGGTCTGCTGTTTTGGCGCGGCCTGCCACCTCCCTCCCAACCTCCAGACTCGCACAGCCCTTCAAGAACACGGCCCTGCGCGCTCTGGCCGCGAGATATGCCTCTACTAACACCGCTCAGTCTGGCAAGATCCATCAGGTCATTGGTGCCGTTGTCGACGGTATGTTTTTTGTCTGTTGATTGTTGTTTGCTGCTGCTTTTTTGTTGGAACTAGACACGTTCTATTTCTTTTTATCACGCCCATAACTTAAATCTGCCTCCAATGGGCCCTGCAACGCTATCTTACATCTCAGGAGTGATGTGTCGCATCGTATATGGAGGTCAATGGCTTCTGGCTTGTGTATTTTCCTGATTACGACCGTGATGGTTCGATCGTTTCAGAGAAGCTGCTGACGAATTGTTGCGATCGATTGCAGTAAAATTTGATGGTGACCAACTTCCCTCCATTCTCAATGCCTTGGAGACTACCAATGGTGGTCAGAAACTCGTTCTTGAGGTTGCGGTATGTGTTTTTCCCCCTTCCTTGCATATTTTTCTTGCCTTGTTTTTCCCCCCCCCTTAGCCTGTCAATTGTTCATTGCTGATAACACGGTACAGCAACATTTGGGAGAGAATGTTGTCCGAACAATTGCTATGGACGGTAGGTTCTCCCTTCAGCCTTTGACCCCCGTGTTAAAAAACAGTACAGAGATCTCACTCGTGGATTCAGGTACCGAGGGTCTCGTCCGTGGTGCCCCTGTTACCGACACTGGTGCCCCCATTATGATTCCCGTCGGCCCGGGCACCCTTGGCCGTATCATGAACGTCACTGGTGACCCCATTGATGAGCGAGGGCCCATCAAGCACACAATGAAGGCCCCAATCCACGCTGAAGCCCCAGAGTACGTCGAACAGGCCACCTCCGCTGAGGTCCTTGTCACTGGTATCAAGGTCGTCGACCTCCTCGCTCCTTACGCTCGTGGTGGAAAGATTGGTCTCTTCGGAGGTGCCGGTGTCGGAAAAACTGTCTTCATTCAAGAATTGATCGTAAGTTCCTCCCCCCACACACGATTAATGGAGAAAGAAACAAAATTTTTTGGGAGCGGTCATTTTTTCTAATAATTCGTGTAGAACAACATTGCCAAAGCCCACGGTGGTTACTCCGTGTTCACCGGTGTCGGCGAGCGGACCCGTGAAGGAAATGACTTGTACCACGAAATGCAGGAAACCCGTGTTATCCAGCTCGATGGCGAGTCCAAGGTCGCCCTCGTTTTCGGTCAGATGAACGAGCCTCCCGGAGCCCGTGCCCGTGTTGCCCTCACTGGTCTGACTGTTGCCGAATACTTCCGTGACGAGGAAGGCCAAGACGGTATGTATAAGTATCCAACTGTAGCAAATCAACTCAGAGCTTCACTCACGCTCGGGTTTAGTGCTTCTCTTCATCGACAACATTTTCCGCTTCACTCAGGCCGGTTCCGAAGTGTCTGCCCTGCTTGGCCGTATCCCCTCCGCCGTCGGTTACCAACCCACCCTCGCCGTGGACATGGGTGGTATGCAGGAACGTATCACCACTACCACCAAGGGCTCCATCACCTCTGTGCAAGCCGTTTACGTGCCCGCAGACGACTTGACTGACCCCGCGCCTGCCACCACCTTCGCCCATCTTGACGCCACCACCGTCTTGTCCCGTGGCATTTCCGAACTGGGTATCTACCCTGCCGTCGACCCTCTTGACTCCAAGTCCCGCATGTTGGACCCGCGTATCGTTGGTGAGGAGCACTACAACGTTGCCACGCGCGTACAACAGATGTTACAGGAGTACAAGTCGCTGCAGGATATCATTGCCATTCTTGGTATGGACGAGTTGTCCGAAGCTGACAAGCTGACTGTCGAGCGTGCGCGAAAGCTGCAGAGGTTCCTCTCGCAGCCGTTCACTGTCGCTCAGGTGTTCACGGGTATTGAGGGCAAGCTTGTCGATCTGAAGGATACTATTCGTTCGTTCAAGGCTATCATCAATGGAGAGGGTGATGACCTTCCTGAGGGTATGTTTGTTTCTTTCCCCTTGAAATCAATTATTTATTTCCTTTATTTTCCATTTGGTTTATCTGAAAAATGATATTTTTGCTAACAACATACTTTTTTCTTCTACAGCTGCCTTCTATATGGTTGGTGACTTCGAGTCCGCGCGAGCGAAGGGAGAGAAGATCCTGGCTGAGCTTCAGATGTCATAGATTTTTGTATAATTGTCATGTGATATAATATTTTAAAAAACTTTTTTCCTCATTTCCCCACATTCTCCTGCTCCTCTAGCTTTTGGTATTTTTTGTCTCTTGTGCCCCCAACCCCTTTCCTTTTTTCTACTGTGTGTGTGTGTGTGTGTGTTGTATGTAGATTAGAAAACAAGAACGGAAGCAAAAGAAAAAGAGATGAAGTAGAGACCAGCCAATTTCTTCTGTCATCGTCATCGTCATCAACATGAATGCGGAGTACATATCAACGCAATCTTCTTTTATCCTTTTCTCTCTTCTTCCATTTGTTTTATTATTATATTCTCTTGAGGTTGAGAGGCAACCTACTCTCCTATTGCGTTTGGAAATTTTGCTTCGGTATATTTTATAAACCGAAGCAAAGAGAGAAGAAAAAAAGAAAAAAACTCTCAGAAAAAGAGACGCGGGCTGGATATTGCAGTGAAAAATGAGGAAAACAAAAAAGTTTTTTCTCTTCTTCCCCCCCCCCCCCGCCTTTGTTTTTTGGCTTTTTGGCTTGGCTTTCTAGTTCCTTTCAAAACTTGGCTGTCAATTGACGACAGCGTCGCTCTGGCACAGCCAACGAGCTTTATCTCGCTTCGGGATAGAGAAAGGGGAAGACAATGGCCGGTGTTGTCTTGCTTGCTTTCCGCTTGCTTTCCGCTGGCTTTCCTGCTTCATAGCCTGAGGGAGGGCGGGAGTGAGTGAGTGAAGTGAGTGAGTGGAAAGTGCCACGAGTCAACCCGAGAAGCTTCGAACCCGGTCTTACGGGAGGGGAGGTTCTGGCCTTGGAGATGGCGTTCCCCATCTTGAATGAGTGCGGAGTGTTGGAAAGGGTTGGCCAGCATGGCCAGTTCACCGTTTGTGATGGTTCCGCTTGTATTGGGGGAAAGAGGGGGGGGGAGTTGGCGGAGAGTAGATATGATTTGAAAATTACTGACATGTATGATCAGGATCCTCCCCGGACAATTTTCCTCTCAATTTAGTATAGAATATACGTGCTATCCGTAAGAACAAAAAGAGTCATGCAAACCAAAACGTAAGTTTATATAAAAATGCAAAACGAAGAACTAGATGTATGGAAAATATCAATATTTGATCAAATGAACTTCATGGCAAGAGAAGATAACAAAGAAAGTATGCTACTCTCTAAATTTCAATGAATAGAGCCGATAATATATACGAAAGTGCACCAACGATTCTGCATTCCTCTTCAAGCCCCGTCCCGCCGAAGATTAGGATCAACATCACGATTGCGCGGCCACCAGTAATCGTCCTCCGACTGGTCGCTAGGCCAGTCAACATTCTCATCAATCGAACTTAGAACTCCAGCCGGTTCGTCCTGCTGCGGCGGCGGCGGCGGCGGCAGGAACTGTGTTTCATCCTCTGAGTCCCCTGTAAGATCAATACAAGTGGGCGAATCCAACGTCGTTGGTAACGAGAACTCAGACTTGATCTGAGTCGAGGAAGAATGCCGGGCAGAAGAAGGTTCAGACTCGTCATCTGATGAAAGAAGGCTGATGATGTGCTGATGGGCCATTTCGGAATGGTTGTGAGAAACAAAGATGGAGGGGGAGAATGAGGAGACCCGCGACGGGAGGGACGAAGGGGAGAAGGGAGAGGAAAGGGAGGTGGTGGAAGACGAAACAATGGAAGGTTGGCTCATATCATGACTCCCCTTCCGCTTATTTCTCCCGCGCTGCTGGTTTTGAGCAATTGCTCCCTGTATTCGCAAGTCCAGCTGCTTTTTATCTTTCCTCTCAAGCTGATGTCGCAAACTAAGCGAGCCGTCCAGCTGCGTGGCTTGGATTTCCGGCAGCAAGGGTGTACGTGCGAGCGCTTCTTTCGGAGTTCCCTCTTGTCTTGCCCATGAAGCATATGGGCCGTCATAGCGCGGACCCTGGCCAACACCGAATACAGGATGACGGCGCAGTTTTCCAGATGATAAGAGCTCTTTGGCAGTTTTGATGCCTAATTTGTCATCGCCATCATCCTCCAAATTTCTCTCCTTGCTAGCAGGTTCGTAAGCCATGTTGATACCTCCGTGAGAAAATGGGGCGCTAGATAGAACATGGATACTACCACAGCTATCCCCAATGAGCAGATTAGTGAAGTCAGGGGAGAATGCACCGGACATGATTCCCTGGTCAAAGTATGCGGTATTTTCAACAAGGACATCTTCCGGCGCTCTGAGGATATTCCATTTTTTGAGGACTCCGTCTGACCCTCCAGTGTAAAACTGGTCAACCCAATTATTTTTCCACAAGGCTAATCGCACCCCGGTATCATGTTGTTCTCGAGAAACATTTGAATCCAGTTCGGAAATGGGCGCGCCATGGGCAAGTCTGTGAAGGATCCGGCCGGGGCTGCGATAATCCCACACGTATGTAACCCCATCAGTGCAGCTAGCGGTAATGTAATTGCTATCGGCAGGGCAAAATGTGACGTCATTGATATCCAGAGCTGGGCATTCATAAGTAATGTGAGCTCCCCAAGTGGCCTTGGGTCTAAAAGGGTCATAGACACGGACAAGAGAGCGAATGGTTTTCGCGCGACCTACGGCAATAGGTGAGGACTCGACGGTGCTGCCAGTTGCAAATATACGAGCCGTCGGATGCCACGCCACATCGAACACGTTCTGGGAATTAGGCGACACTACCAGGGGAGAGACAGTCGATTCTCCCATCTGCCAGACAGCAAGATGACCGTTTCGAAACTTTTCATCCTCGCGAGCAGCGAGACCAGCTACAAGAATATTATCCGCTGACTGTGTGCCCCAAGCTAGAGAAGAAGGTATCATTGGAACGTTTCTCGTTGGATTGCAGATTAGAACGTCCGGTATATAGCCATGGCCACTTGTCTTTGTCCAGAGTTTGATGTGAGGAGCGGAGTCACATCCTGTTGCAATGGATCCGGAATTAGATACGGCCATAACCATCACCCTTCCACGGTGTGGAAGGGTATTAACACATTTAGCACCAGTGTGTGTAGAGACGTCCCATATCTTAACTGTGTTATCGTAACTAGCGGTGTAAAGAGTCTCCCCGCGCCAACTGACCGCACTGACAGTCATATACAGGTTGGGATCCGTGACGTTGTTTGGTATAGGTCGACGGACACGGTGATCGGGCAACTCTTTCAGGGAATTGCAAGTTAGGTCCCCGAGAAGAAGATTATTGTTCCGATTGTAAATCATATTATGTTCATCAGACTGGGCAGCGGCACCAGCAGCAAATCGGGTTCCGTCCGAGGACCAAGCGAGGACCATTACATCATTCGATGCGCCTTTCCATTCCTTCCAGAGTTCCAAGCTTTTCCTCGATTGGATGTTATGGTAAATAGGGGTTTTTCGCCGATACGCCTTTTGACCCAATTCACGTTCCCGGAGTAAGGCGGAAGGTTTCATACACTCGAAGTCGGGGGATGAGTAAAACGCATGGGATGAGATCGCTCGTAAAAGATATGGCGCGGAGGAAAGCAGCCCATCTGCAGCGTCAGAAAGAAGGGCACAGACATGCCGTCTCCTGCGGTGTTTGAAACAGTTTATGACCGAGAGTAAATATTGAAAGTCGTCCTTATTGATTTGACGTAAACTCTGTAGGATATCGTGAAGATGATAGACACGGTTTGGCGGCTGCGGTAAACCGAGGACTATATGAATATAGAATAATATTTGCCGTATTGTCCCACGCTGCGGAGTTTTGTTATCGCCTTCCCTCCAAGAACTTCGTTCGTTACGGTGATGGAGCAGGAATGAGACTGGGTCATTTGTGATCTTGAGTAAGCACTTGCGAAGAGCGTTTAGGTATGAAATTTTTTGCGCAAGGGCTTTTTGTTGCTCGCGGTGAGGATAAAATTTCCGAGTGGTTTGTATCAGCAGATCCGGCAAAGCGATATCTGATTCGGTTGAAAGGTTCCTCGTCATAACGTAGAATAACGCCTCCATTTCGCTTTGATCAAAGTCTGCATGTATCACTCGTCCCTCGGGGTCATCCTTTTCAAGATTCTCACCCGCGCACCTCTCTCCAAACCCAGTTCTATCATGTTGCGAAGAGTACGGCGCATATTCCTCGAATAATTCATCAACTGGGGCAGGCAAAGGTTCCTGTAGAACCTGAAGATAAGACGAGCAATATATTGAGCGAATCAATGGAACGGTAGGCTCAGGAACTGGGTTGAGCAGTTCATGTGTAGTTCGGTGGGCGGCGTCATCCCGTGGGGTGCTGAAATCCTCGGGGTTCGCCTGTTCTTCCATATCCTCTTCGTCTTTGCCTGACTCGTAGCCGGGGAACCCTCGAACCTTGGCATAGTAATTTGCGGGGCCGCTACGATTTCGCCGAGTACGTCGTTCAATAGTAGAACTGGCTGCATCCGATGGGACATAACTTGAACCAGAGTCAGACTGAGACATCGTAAGGGCTTTTGTTTTCAGCTTTGGTCCTTGTTTTTTCTTTGGCGACTTCTCTCGATGTTTCGTAGATACTAAAGTCGAACTTGCTGGTAGGTCAGGCTTAGCAAACTCCCTGATGGAAGGAGGGGGGAGAACAACAACAGGTGAGGAATTGACAGAAGAAGGGAAAGTAGTCGCTATGCCAGTTGGGTAATTTTGAGAATTGGAAATGCCAGCGGGGTTAGAGGAATGTGAAATAGTGGAGTGGTCAATTGTGTTGTGTTTATCTTTGAGAATTTGTACATCATTTTGTGAAATTGATGTTAAATCCTGAGAAGTACTCCCCCCTTGTGAATGAAAATGGGTTCTTGATGTTCTTGATGTAGGTGTTGTGGTTGTTGTTGTTGTTGTCACGGTATTATTCACCATACTGGAAGTTTGATGATTGTGGGGTCTCTGTAGAAGCCGTTTATCTGAACCTGAATGAGCAATTTGAGATAGTGACGAATCGCTTCTCGAGCCACAGGATTCATTTCCTTGAGAAAGAACATCTTCCCCGAGAAGAGAATTCTTAAATTGTCCATCAGCAGTCCGC